TCGCCTGCAATATTAATTTTTACTTAACTTACCTTCTATTACTTTTATCTATTTTGTATTAGTAAAATAAAGCATTTAATAATGTGATATCCGTGCTCTCCTCATGTTTTTGAAAGTAATTTCTACATACATTATGCTGTAGAAGTGTACAAGAATAAGTATAACATACATCAAACTGAATATGATAAAAAAAAGAACAATGTGCCAGCCATTTGACCAAATTTGATACATACATTATGTTATAGAGATTTACAATAATACATAGAGCATACATTAAACTGAATATTAGTACTTTAGAGGAAGAAGAATGTGTGAATGTGTGTATTCAGGATAATGTGTGAATATACTGAATGCTGAGAATACTGACTTAACTTGAAACACATTATGTTGTAGAAGTGTACAAGGGTACATATAACATACATTAAACTGAATATTAGGACTTATGAAACTATACAGGAGAATGCGTGAGTATACAGGAAGGCTAAAAGAAACATGAAAACACATGAGTACAAAAAAAGAACAGTGTGGCAGCCATTTGGCCAAGCATGAGATATACATTATGCTGTAGAGATGTACAATATAACATTTAACATACATTAGGCTAAATATTAGTACTTTTGAAAATATACAAGACATGCGGCGGCGCTAAGTGTGGTTACCGACGGTGTGCACCCTTCTGTTGGTGTGCTCCTCTCTATACATTATGAGACACTCGTCTATTACAACTTTGATTTTTAGCTGATCCTGCTTGTGTTTTTTAGTGGTCTTTAGCCAGTGGGGCCAGTAGCTGTCATCATTCGGCTTTTTTAGCCTGTACTGTTCTCTGAGGCTGCATGAGAATAGGAGGTGGTCTGGGTCCCCAATCTCACCCCACTTGCAGGTGTCAATGTCTATGAAGCTGAAGCGATATTTGTATGTGAGGAATGGACCATGTCCTGTAAGAAATTGTGTCATATAATAAGAGGTAGACTGGGCCTCTGTCCTCACTTTCGGTATGAACTTGTAAGCTCAATGACCTGTGGTGCCCTGGTCTCATCTCCTTTGCTACTCTGTTATTAACAGCTCTAGCGAGTGCCGCTTCATAAATGTGATCGGTTTTAATGTGGCATCCTCATCTGTGTCGGCCGATTTCTGTCATCGAGGAACTCATTTAGAAATACCAAGTAGTACTGTATTGAGAGCCGTTCAGGCAATAGGTATGGTTCAAGCAGATGATGCACGAGTATGCCGGCCCAGCGTTTCTATGGCCATATTGTATGCGGTTTGACCTGAGACCACATATGGCTGTGGTGATGATTGAATATCCCATCACGAGTGAAACATGCTTCATTAGTCCACAAGATAGTATGTGCAATGAAATCATTATCTGTGTTATTTTGCTGCAGCAGCCATTTACAAAAGTCCATGCATTTCTAAAAGTCATCTGGTTTTAGATCTTGCACATTTTTGTACTAAAATGTGTATAGCCCCTCTGACCGTAAGAGCCTGTGCACAATACTTTTACTTATATTCAGCTGACTGGTTAGTGTGCACGTGCTTACCTTGGCATTTCTTCTACCCGCTGTACTATTGCATCCACCTGTGTTACCGTCAGAGCACTTTGCGGTCTTCCAACATCATGGCGACTGTCTCTTGGGTAGACGCTTCCCCTATTTCGGTCTGTCATCCGGCCTGCAGATGACTTTGGCATCGGGAGGACAGTGTGATGAAAATCAAGGGGCTCCCTAACAGTTCATAAGGCATTTCCATTACATTGGCCGTACATCAAATACATGTTGCAGTATTCACGAACAGAATACATGATCACCATACGAAAAATACCGGTAACTGCAAGATGCATCCTTTTAAATATGAGTTTAACGTCCGCTTAACATCATTCCATAGCGTGCGCATGCATGCCGTGCTATGTGAATGTTTTGAACATTATTGCAGATACTGCTGTTGATGTGTCCAATACAGTGTTTCTTCCTTGCCCCGGCTGCGACATATTTTTCATTTAAACTATGGATTGTACAATTACTGTTCTTAGGGTATTTTTTATGTAATCCCAACATGAAATCTGGCTGTGCAGAGTTTGGTCGCTATTTATGGGACACCATGTATATATATTTCTCTCTCTCTGTATGTGTGTACTTAAACTGGAGAAAAATGTATGCAATAAGGATGACTTGAAAAACATTTCCTGGCCATAATGCTGCTAAGACATTTAAACTTAAAACTAAACAGGCAAAAGAAAAGCATGCAAGAAAATAAACAATATATTATTAATTTAGCAAATTAATAGCACACCAAATTATAAACGGAGTTAAATTTTTGAAAATTACGAATTAAAATTTAAAAAATTAAAACTAAAAATGAAGTCAGAAAAATATTTGCAATATAAAAAATGAACTAGACTAAAAATGACTGAAGGAAATGAGTAAAAAATTTTAAAAAGCTGTTTTATTATCTTCAGATTCTTATGTTATCAAGAGAAGATAAAAACTTCTTATGACATTACATTTTTTCCAGGCTGATTTATTCTGTTTCATTTAGCTTAAAATTTTCCGAGGCACTGAATTAATAATATAAATACTTTCAGTTCCCCTGAAAATTAAAACCCCCTCCCCTGCAGACAAATCTAACCCATGCAAAAAAAAAAGAGCATATTCAATAATATGAGTCCTATACAGTCAAAAGTCGTTAATTCGGACACACATAATTCGGAATGATCTATAATCCGGACCTCAAAGCTAAAAACTTTCTGTGCATGTGCCGCGTTGACACATGCGCACAGGCGTTTACGCGTGCGCGTAAGACCTCTTACGACTGCGCATTTGCGTGTGCGCAAGCGCAGAATACGTTTTCGCGTGCGCGTTTTATGTATAACGGATGGTGTAAGCTAAAATTATCTAATTATCTATTTCAGTTAATGTTGATGATTGCGTTGTTCCTTAATTTTCGAATTGGATCCGGCTTATTATTTTTTGCAGACTGTAAGAGCAATACTATAAAAGTAAACTTGAACTTTCGATAATGTCAAATAGAATTTTTGATTCTGAAGCTCCCAAAGGATCGTACAAAACGAAAGTATGTTTCGATGTCCATCAAACAAAAAGTGGAATTGATGCAAAAAATGGATAAAGACGTGAAGAATGTGACAGAGAGGTTAGTGAAAACGGAAAAATTTCGATTGACACGTTAGTCGGTATTCTCGGCACAGCAATTAACGGGACTTGAACAGCGGAACTTTGTAAGTGAACAAAAAATTATGTCTGTTTATAGTATTAAAGAGAAAGTATTATCACATAAAACGAAGCAAATTAAACAACTTACATTGAAAGAAATGTTTAATAAAGTAAACAAATAAATATTAAGCCTTTTTTTTTTTGTAAATTTTGATACCCTTTAGATCATAATTGTTCTTTATTTCATAAATTACGGTTTCATATTTTTAATTTTAGAATTTCTGCATGCCATCTTATGCGATTTAAACTGATGGTCTATAATCCGGAAAAATCGATAATCCGGAATCGCCGAAGTTCCGACGAGTCCGGATTAACGACTTTTGACTGTACATGCGAATACAAGCAAAATTTCAAATAAGTATTAAAAAATGTATTAAAAAAATATAAAATGTGTAAAAAATAGAACTTAAATTTTCTAATCTGTTATATTTTGATAAAAAATTTAAAATTTGCATCTTAACCTTCCACCACGAACACTTGGCAATTCTACATGAGCACGCGCGCGTTGTATTTTTTACGACATCCGTTATTTTACCATTTTTGGCATGAAAAACGACAGAAATGTGTGAATATTGATAATAAATTTGTTAAGAAATAAAATATTAATTTTATTATTGCAAAATTCAAATGATATCACATTCAAATATAAGTAAATTATTTTTAAGTTCTTATGTTAGTGAGATGGAAATGCAATGATGTATTTCATTATAAAATTTTTTAATTTATTATTTAATAATTATATTTTAAAATCGAAGCTAATTTTAATATTGATTAAAGACAAGTATAGACAATAAAAAAGGAAAATACCTTGGTAGTAAAAAAAGTAAGTTTAGCATTACTTCTACAAGGAAATTTACTTCTTACTGGTTACAAAAACGCACTTTAAACTAACTTTAATATTTTTATTTATTTCTAAAAACCAGAAATAAAAGAAAATAAGGAATGAAAATCGCTGTTGTTCTCCCATCCAAAGGTTTTCTTGTCTTCCGTTTCTTCATCAGATAATTCTTGAAGAATCTGAGCAAAATCATCTGGTTGCACATATTTTTTTGCCATGAAAACGGATATAAAATTTACTGAGCCAAATGTATTCAAATTTAAATAATACATGGCAATTAATAACACAAAATTACAAAATATTTGAGAAAAAATATTTTCCGAATTTTAAAGCATGACCATGCGCGTGTCGTAGCTTTTATGAAAAAGCAGCCACGTAGCACAAAAGCCCAGTTAAAAAAAAAAAAAAGTCAATTGACTTCTTGTTGGCACATTCTATGATGTGGGGAAGGGTAGAAAGGAGGAATATAAATGACCTTCAGACGTTTCAGCTTCGATATACAAAAAATGTGCATTAAAAACTGAATTTGTGGTAAATTTTGCATGCATGCGCATGCTGGGAGGTTAATATACAAAGGAAAGAAACAATTACAACAGTGAATACAGAGTCAAAATATAATTACTTACATCTTCTAGAAACTTCTTGTATAACAAAACGACCAATAGAATATGGAATTTTTGCTTAGCATTAATTCTAAGATTTATATTGTTTTTAGTTTGGCCAATATAAGTTTTTATTTGATCATGTTTAATTTTTTTAAATTTAATTTTTAATTTAAAAAATTTATGTCAACTCTTTTTATAATTTACAATACTTTTAATTTGAACAATTAATAATATATTGTTTATTTTCTTACATGTTTTTCTTTTACATGTTTACTTTTAATTTTAACTTAATCTCTATCTCTTTCTATATATAATGTTGTTTCTTTTCAGGTATTTTATACTGATAAGCCTGTTGTTGTCTCTGCTCCAACTGGCTCTGGTAAGACAGTCATATTTGAGTTAGCTATTGTGAGACTTCTAATGCTTATGTCTGATTTGGGTCAGATTGCTTCAGGATACAAAATAGTTTACAGTAAGATAATTGTTTTATAGCCATCGTTTATAAAGTATAATTTTATGTTTTTTTAAACAATGTCATTTTCATCCCAAAAAGTAGAATAAAGTAAGTGTGCATCTGCAATTTCAAGCACACTAAATGTATAACATATGAAGAACCCCCGAATAACCGGAATTATTTTAAAATTATGCTTTACACTTTTATATTAGCCCCTTTCAAAATGTTTTCTATTAGCATTGATACAGTATCCCAAACATTTTATCCTCAGTTGGAAACATAGAAACAGTTCTAGAAATAATTGCATCAAATATAATTCAGGCCGTAACTTCTTCTTTAGTTTTTTAAACTTAATAACTTCATACTTTAAAAGTAGACTCAACTAATGAGTATATCTCAAGAATTCAAAATTTTTATTATTACATTTTTAAACAGTTCACATGACATTCAGCTAGCACAGTAACACGTGCGTCACAACAACGGAATCGCATAGCATGAACGCCATTACAGTTATAGTTATTTTAAATATACATCACATTCCTTCCTCCAGTTTATAAACAATAATAAAAATATCAAATAATATCAATACAAGTATATTCACAATATGACATACATTAAAAAAAAAGTTACGTGAAAAATGATATATGAAATATGTTACATTATTTTATTCCATGACAAAGTCTCTATATCTTGAAGGTTGTCTAATCAACCGTCCACTTCTTGTTATTGTATTATTGGATAGATTATTCTGTTGATTTCCTATATTAATAGGCACAGAAACATTCTCAGGGCTTCTATTTGATTTATCCTCTTTTTATCTAATAATATATCATCATAATCATTATTAACTTTGTAAGGTGATTTTGAAAATTTTATATGGCATCTGTTTCTTCGTAATATCTCCCCATTTGAATTTCTTACTATATAGAATCTAGGAGCTTTATGTTTTGAAATTATTTCACCTTTATCCCATTGCCCAGTTCTAAAGTTGAACAAGGTTATACTATCTCCAGGTTTTAACTCAGGCAGTTTCTGTGCAGTTCTATCATAATAATATTTTTACCTAGCTTGAAGTGCACGAAATTTAGAATAAGGCTTTTTTATTTTAGTATTCGACAATTTATTACTGATAGGTAATTTTGTCCTTAATCTTCTATTAAGTAACAGTTGTGCAGGTGACAAATTTATTCCACTAATTGGGGTATTTCGATATTCCATTAAGCCTACACTTATATCTTGCACTTTCCTCATGATATTTTTCACTATTCCTACTGCTTTTTCATCCAACCCATTACTTTATACTAAATTTAAGTTCGAAATCCCAATCTTCAGCAAATTTCTTAAATAAGTAGCTATTACAGGGATTATTGTCGTAAATGACTTCATTTGCAATACCATACCTGGCAAAGATGCATTTTAATTTTATCATAATTTCATTTGCTGTCTTATCTTTTATGTTAGAAACCTCAATCCATTTAGAGTAATAATCGATAACTACTAAGTAATTTTTATTACCAAATTGCAAGATATCAAGGGCAATTTTTTCGAATGGTTTATTTGGAATTTTATGTTGCATTAGAGGTTCTTTTTGATTTCTGTTTCTGAATTTTTCACATATTTCACATTTGGAAACTAGCTGCTCAATATCATTTGTCATACCTGGCCAGTAAAAAATTTCACAGGCTCTACTTTTACATTTCTCAATTCCAAAATGCGCTTCATGAATTAATTGCAACATATCTTTTCTCAAACCATAAGGTACAACTAATTTTTCATTAATAAATAACAAGTTGTCATTAATATAAAGATCATTTTTAACTTTAAAGTATGTTTTTACACTACTATCTACTTTTTTGTAACATTTAGGCCAACCCTCTTTAATATATTTCATAACTATTTGCAAATCTGGATCTGATTCAGTTTCTTTCCTAAATTGCACCACTCTTCTTTCACTCATAGGCAAATATTTTGAAATAATGTGAACAACATTTAGCATTTCAGGATCATCACTAATAGTTTCATTCACAGGATATGCTTGTGACAAAGTGTCAGCAAAAAGCATTTGATTACCTGGAACATAATTTATCTCAAAATCATACTTTAGTAATTTTAAGATCATCCTTTGCATTCTAGACGAGATTTTATGCAATGGTTTCTTAACAATTGCCATTAACGGTTTATGATCACTTTGTACTGTGACTTTCCGTCGTACATAAACAAATTGTGGTACTTTTCAAAAGAAAATACTATGGCCAATAGCTCTTTTTCGATCTGTGCATAGTTTTTTTCACTGTTAGTCAGGCTGCGAGACACAAATGATACAGGCTTACCCTTTTGAATTAGACACGATCCTAGGCCATCCTTCGAACTATCACACTGTATAATTAATTATATCCTCATTACCACTGAAAACTTTTAAAATTGGAGCTTTGGTTAGCAGTTGTTTGATGTTGTTAAATGACTCTTCCTGAGTTTCTTCCCAATTAAATTCTACCTTTTCTTGAATGATTTCTCTTAAAGGAGCGGTAACTTTAGATACATTAGGTATGAATTTTGACAGAAAATTTAACATTCCTAACAACCTTCCTTACTTCAGTTTTTGATTTTGGTGTTGGCATATCAATAATTGCTTTAATGTGACTACTAGGATCGGCTTTTACACCTGACTCAGAAATAATTTGGCCTACATATTTGACTTCCGGTACCCTATATTATAATTTATCAGGATTAAATTTTATATTTAGAGACCTAACTCTTTCAAGAACCTTAGAGTTAATTATATCATGAGTAACCTCATCAGATCCTGCAATTATGATATCATCAAAATAAACTTCCACACCCTCAATATCACCAAATAATGGGGAGAAGGATATTCCAAATGGCATTTTATTAAATTTATATCTTCCATAAGGAGTATTAAATGTTCATAGTTCAGAACTAGCTTCATCTAGTGGTACATGCCAAAATCCATCTTTTAAATCTACAACTGAAAATACTTTTTTACCTTCTAACCTACTAATTATATCATCTGGAGAAGGAATTTGATAGTGTTCCCTTTTAATTACTTTAATTAGATCTCTAGGATCCAAGCATAATCTCAGACTCCCATTAAGTTTTTCAACTATAACCAAACTTTGAACCCAATCAGTCGGTTTATTTACTTTCGATACTATCCCTTCTCTTTAAAGTTTATCTAAAGTATCTTTTAATTTAGGCTGTAAAGCCTGAGGAACACATCTTGGGGGGGTGTATTACTGGTATTGCATCATCTTTAAGGGTTATATGATAAGGTTGGTCAGGAAATTGCCCTGTATCTGTAAATACATCTTTATACTGAGCAATTAAATCATTTTTATTAATGATATTGCACTTTAAGGAATCAATCCTTTCAATTAGCTTTAATGTAGAACAAGCTGTTAACCCTAATATAGGCTTAGATCTTATATCAAGAACATAAAACTGTAAAGGTACATTCTTAAGCCTTTCAGTTGAAAAATTAATTATAAGAGTACCTTCTGGTTTTAACTTAAAATTACCATATGCAGTTAAGAACAAATCAGTTTCATTAAGTTTAGGCTTAAGTTTAACATTATTTAAAACATACAAAGGCAAAATATTTACTTCTGCACCAGTATCTAACTTAAAATCAACCTTGAAAGACTTATTATTTACATACATTGTAATACTTTTCACCCATGTTTCACTTACCTTGTGAATATCCTTATTTACTTCATCAATAGAATTTGTTAGATCTTTGATTGATTTTGCACTTATTTTAAATTCACTATGCCCGTTTACTGGTGGATCTATCATTACAGAGTCAACAAATACACTATGTTCATTATATATACACTAAGTTCATTATTTGGTATTCCAACATCACAAATGTTCTTGGGACACCTTGCGGCAAAATGGTTCTTTACTTTGCATTTCGCACATGTCTTTCCGAAAGCTGGACAGTCCCGATATTTGTGCCTTCTTCCGCACTTCTTGCAGTCATATTCTAGTGCTGATTGCTTCTGCTGCGACGACAATTTCGGTGGCACTGACTGTTTTGATTGATGCTGCTGTTTTCTATATTTCTTCACGCTGTTCACAGTCACTGGATCATCTTTCATGTTCCGGAGTTGCTCTTTGCTTCTTTCAGCGGCATGGACTATTTCTATAGCTTTTTCTAATCCTAGGTTAGATTCTCGAAGCAAACGTTCGGTCAGACTCCTATCCCGAATGCCTAATACAATACGGTCGCGAATCAATCCATTTTCTTGTTTAGCAAACTCACAAGTTGAAGTCTTTAACTGAGTGACATAACATTCAATTGTTTGTCCTTCTTGCTGGCTATACGAAAAGAATTTGTAACGTTCATATACATGCCGTGGTGAACAATAATCTTCAAAAGACTTCAAGACCTCTTCGTACTTCTCCTTATTCTCAGGTGGCTCAAATCGAAACGTGTTATAAATTTAGAGTCCTTCAGTACCGAGTAAATTCAAAAGGATTGCAATTTTAGTCTTATCTGGCTTGGCATCTTTTTCCATTGCAAGTAAATAGTTTTCTAGCTCTTGCTTCCATTTTTTCCCATTTTCTTTAACATTTCCGACGGAGAATGTTAGCGGAGCAGGTGGTCTGAAATCCATTTTGCTCCTGACACCATGTAACTTCTTGTTTAGTTTGTTAAACTTAATAACTTCTATATTTTAAAAGTAGACTCAACTAATGAGTATATCTCAAGAATTCAAAATTTTTATTATTACATTTTTAAACAGTTCACATGACTTTCAGCTAGCACAGTAACACATGCACATAGACTCCAACTACTACGGATTCTCCGTAGTTTCTACGGAAATTCATGAAAAACTACGAGCTATGAAAAGTATGGAAAAAACCTACGGATTTTACAGAAACAGAGCAGGAGAACCAGTACGCAAAACGGAACCAACTAATTCATCCGATGATTGGCTGAATACTCGTGTTATCATATATCACGTGTTGAGTGCGTTCCTAGTTTTGAAAGAATT